GAGCGCGCTCGTAGGCTTCGGGGGCAGTTTTAGTACCCGTTGGGGGCATTCGGGGGGGCCTCTTGGGAGCCGCTTGGAGACCTCTTCTGGTTTCCTGGGGGCTTCGTGGGTGTCTCTTTCTGGCCTCGTGGGGCCTCCTGGGAGCTTTCCGGGGACGAAGGTTCGAACTGGTCGGGGGCCTCCAGGGCCGCTTGGGGGGCCTCTACGGGTTGTCTTGGGGCACCCTTGGGTTGTGATGGGGCCGCCTTGGAAACCTCGTGCTTGACTATTGTGCCGATGTTGGTGGTATTTTGGGCCGTTTTGGGGTGTCGGGAAGCCGAAAATACGAGAACGCCAGCACGTTTCAAACCTAAGGGATAATAGAGTTGTGCCTGTTCCCTCTTGGTGTAGTCTTGGAGGCCCCTTTCGAGCGTCTTGGCAGCAGCTTGGGCTGTGAGGAGGTCTGATCTGGCGTCTTGGACCGACCCCGTTCGGAAATCCGGGTCCTCTCGGATCGTTTTGGGGGTCTCTAAGGCTGTCTTGGAGCCCAGGACCCCCCGAGGGGATAGTATTCTGACCTGGGACCCCCCGGGGGATGCAGAGATTAAAGGGAAGGGGCTTCTTTTCGAGCCAACTACGACACTGCTCAAGTTCGGTTTGATTTTAGTTTGGCTGGCGTTTTTGAGCTGTCGGTTCGGTTTCACTGCGGGGCTGGAGCGCTGGAGGAGGAGACGGGTTCAGTGATTGAGACGACGACGACGACGACGGCAGCGTCTTCCACACGCCGGCGGTTCGCCACATGATAACATGCGGGCCACGCGCGCGTGTCGGGACCCTTTCCAGAACATCTGGTTGGTCGAACCATGTCAAGGTCGAGTTCAACAAAAACGCATGAAACACGAAACGAATTCAGCAGCAGGCCAGCCAGGTGTCTTGCATGTCCGCGCTCGCGCAACTCCCCACAATTACCTTCATCAGTGCCGCCGCATCACCGCCGTCATCGTCACCATCAATCGGCACAGCTGCCGCCATCTTTAACCAAATACCGACACATGGACAGCATCACAATCATCATGCGCATCCTCATCAGCACCACCATCCATCATCATAGCCACTTCGGCCCGAGCCCGGACTGTTCAGCAGGGGGGGTCATCCGTTCAAGTGGGGCGCTAGGTGGCACGCAGCAAAAAGCCCCGCCGCATGTTGTAGGCCCTGTTGGCATCCAGCCCGTTCATGGCCACAGCTGTTGTTCGGCATCGCATGCGGCCCATTCAATATAACCGACAGCGCTCCCGCTAAAAAAGGATTTGGCTGAGATGCACGAGGCGTTCTCTAGCGTTCACGTCATCAGCTTGACGGGCGCGGGCCAGGCTTCGGCGGAGACTTAGCATGACGGCGCGTTGCAGGAGTTGCGCGCTTCGATGAAAGGCCACGACGTCTACCAATGGCCGACTTCAGTTTTTAAAGGAGGGGTTCGAAGACAGAGGAAGCAGGACCTTGCCAACGGGGCCAACCTGTCCAGTGGTTGCATGATCGCGGTTCCATTGGTGGCATGATCGTGGCTTTCGTTGGCGAGGTCAATTTGATTTGTGCTTCGCATAGTTGCACTCGCTTCTTCTTCCCAAGGATGATAGCGAGTGCAATATGCTATTGAAATCGACTTGTTGTTTTGATTCAGTATTACGCGACTTCCCCGCACGTTGCACAGTTGTCGCGATGATGTATGACAATGTTCATTCGACCCGGGGCGCGTCAATTCTGAATGGCACCGCAATGGAGATCGAAACGCGGCCGGGCACTCCAGCGCAGAGCATGAGGATTTCAACGGCACACAGTACCCGGCACTTGCTGAATCGTCATGGGATGGCGCTGGTCAACACTTTGTTTGAGCCAGGGCGCGGCCCCATTTTCCTCGGGGGTCACAGTCGCACGGGGATCGGCTACATCGCTATTCCACAAGCTGCTCTGGCGCATGTCGCTAAATCTGGGGCGGTCGAAATAGGTGCGGAATGGGTCAAAGACCCACTGCAGTTCCTATTCATTTTGAACAGGACTCGCTGTCGACGTCGTCGCGGCTTGCGCCCATTTGAACCAGGAGGCTGCTTGCCCAACAGCGACCGCTGTTGGTTTGGAGCAACATTTGTCGCCGTACATTGCGCTCATTTTCCGCGCCCACTTCGGGCGCCCAATGAAACGTCAGCCGTGGAGGCGCGCGGCCTACAAACTTCAGTTGGCCGATCGCACTCGCGCGAACGCGGGCCGCGCTCTGCTGGTTTTCGATTTGGCATTTCAAGGTTGGCACGGGAAAGGTCAGAACCGCCCGCGCTGGGACGTCGAAAAGATGCCGAATGCCAGGCGCCGCCCGAACGGCCGCCACGACGATTCCGCCAGGCGCCTCGACGACTGGGGCTCCGAGGACTCATTCTCAGCTTCTGCAGACGGCGTTCGAGCGGCGCGACGCGGACGGCGGCCGGCGCAGTCTCAACGAAGTCCTGCGATCCGCCAGCGCGGCCACGGTCGGGGCCCCCCCTGCCCGGTCGCCAGCGGCGGAACCAGAGGACTGGAAAGGCTCGTCTGGAATGCCGCAGGTTGCGCATCCTTCCCCCCGAGACCCCCGAGGGCGACGCCCGCTCGGCCTTGGGCGACGTCCGCAGGGCGCCCAGCCTTCGCACTCGCAGGCGAGAACGTCGGGGCGCGAGGCGGCGGCGAGATGGGCGGGCGAAGGAGCTCAATCTTGCCACGCGGGCCCGCGATGGCCGTCTAGCGCGGAAGCTCGGCCGGCCGATTCCTCGCGCCCGCCGAGGTGCCGAACGCAGGCAACGCACCCCACTCGCCGCCGCGCCTCCGGATATTCGAGATGGGGATCAGCGCCCCCCGTGGGCCCGAAGGGACGCGGAGGCCGGAGCGCCATGCATAGGCACCGCGTCTGACGCTCACCTTCTCATGGAGCAGGCGCGTCTCCTCTCGCGTGATCTCGCGCAGCGCCATACACGACGCGCTGCTCTTCGCGGCGGCGGCGGTTTTCTTGGTCGGTCGACCACCCCCATCCTCGTCTCTTTCTCTCGCCGCCCCCCCCCCAGCCGGCCACTCCGCGGGCCCGCTGGGATCGCGACGAATGTTCGAGGTTTTCCCCAGAGGTCTTTCAAACAGCAAAGCTCGCCGAGCAAAGCAGGGTCGGCGCCTCGGGAGCCCCGGGCCCCCGCCCCAGCAGCTCCTCGCCCTTTTGGACGAGGACCCAAATGAGAGACTGGGGGCCACCGCGGACAAGTTCAAGCGGCATCTCGCGGCGACCCGAGGTGCCAGCGCGACCCCGAACCGTTGGAACGTCAGTTAGGGCTGTCGCGCAGGCAAGCTTAACGGCGAGATCAAGCGCAAAGGCGAGCGTCTAATTCACCTTCTCGACCCCGCGGGGAACCCATCGCCGGGGCCGCCTGGAAGCGCGGGCCGGGGCATTCGACGCATCGCGGCGCGGGTGTCCCCGAGGGCCGACGTCGCGAGCAGCTGATTCTGCAACGCAAGCTCGTGCGATGGCAGTTGTCGGCGCAGGCTCTCCGGCGGTCTGCTGTTGTCTACGACCGGGCGAACGCGTTTGTTTCGGCGTATCGCTCAGCCCTCGATTCCATCATCTAGCAGCAGACGCTGCTCCAGTTGTCGGAAGACACCGGCGCGCCACGACCCCGGCACAGACTGATTCGGGGGAGCGGAGCTCAATCTCTTCAGGGCGCGGGGACTTGCAGGGACATCAGCCTGCGCCAGGTCATCTCCCGCAGGCATTCGATCCCGCGGTGGGCGAGTGGGTCGACCGAACCAGGTCCGAGCAAGAAACCGTTCATCACGGTCACAGACCTTTCCCCCGAACTCCTGTAGATGTTTCAAACGGCGCGCACGCGGCTGATCTAGAGCGCCCAGACGTCGCCGACGGGACCATAGAGTCCGCGCGGAAAATCGAGCATTGGGACGCTCATCTCACCCCCAAAACCTTACACCAAATCTCGGCCAGAATGAGTTGATGTTTCGGCGGCATGGGAAAAGGGGCCCCGACCGAGAACGAGGCTGTCAACAAGCAGATTCAGGCCCTTGGGGAGGCGACGCCAGTTGCACGTCATGTGGGGGCTGATAATAAGACCGAGGGGCGAGAGCATCATGAGTACTGGCAAAGGGAGAAGGTGGCCAGGAATGGGCGTCGACGATTGGGCACGTTTGGGGCCAGACGGGCATGCCAATGAAAATCGGCCTCCCTGCGCGCCTGGGCTTGGCTGATAATTCGCCTCACTATGGAGGGGGGGGGCCCGGCTTCCCGCGCGGCAGCTCCGCGGTCAGGCGGGCCACCCCGCGCGAATTCACGGTCGGGCGCGCGCCATCTCAGCGACCCCGCAGCCGAGAATGCGCCGCATTATCGGAGGTTGGCTCGGCATTCGGAAACTTACTCGACGCCCCCAAGACAACGCTGAATATATTGCACCACGCAGACTGCACCCGACAGCTTGCACCACATAGCACGGACCACATACAGTATACCACATACGTTTCACAACAAAGTTTACCCGACAGATATTGCCACACATAGTTCGGACCGCGTCGCGTGCGTTTGATATATTGCACCACGTACATCGAACATCCGCAGTGCCAGAAGCTATGGTTATGGGTTTCACGATGAGTAACCTTTGGAACCTGCCGTACTTTTCCATTGCGAGCCTGTACGCACGCACCGAAGTCGCCCGTTTTGCCTTTCTTTTATCGGGGCAGATTCCCACAGGCTGCGCCCGTCGATGGACCTGCCAACATTCCCGGTCGCAAAGAGAAATGACCGCACATGTCCGCACACACACGTACGTCCCCACCTGGTTTCGCCTTGTTTCCGTATTGCTGCAATTCGTCGTTCGTTGTCCTCTTCTTTTTTTGTGTTCTCCTCCTCCTGCCCCTCCTGCCCGCAGGACTTGGAAACAGTGGATGGCTTCCGAGAATTGTATGGGCTCTGCAAGGATTTTGGCAAATCCTTCAGCGTGCGGATCGCAAGCTTCATGAACGCATTCACGGGCATGACTGTTGGTTTTGGGGGGGGGGAACCTACAATGTTTTACAATGTTTCGTCATTGTCACTTTCAGGGGGTCTTTTGCGGGGTTCGTTTCGGGATTTTGTCAGACCGCATTTCGGGAGAGGTCCAGGGAGTTGCTGGCGACATCGGTATCTGTCCGGTCCGCCAGGCATGATGGCGTGGGTGCTGATGCTCGTAGAACTCAAGGCATACAGTTTCTTGGACAGGACGACCATGTTGATATCCATCTACTGCGTGACCGTCCTGGGGGCCTCCATCATAGGTTTGGCCTTGCTTGGAGGCGGCGTGAATGCCGCCTCGGACCGCATAGTATTCCTGCTCGGCAAGCATGCCATGGAGCTGCATTCGGAGGCCGCCAGGAGACACGACCAGGGCGAAGACGCCGGCGCACCCCCGGGCATCGCCGAGTTCATCCAGGCGGTCGCAAACGACGTGGCCGCAGAGAAGCAGTCCAGTCCTGTCCAGTTGCTCGGAATGTATTGCGGCACCACCCTCATTACGACTTTGTATGTTGTCCCAGCCTTCTGGTTCTCGCGACTGGGCAACATGTGCGCTGACGAGCCCTCGTTGTGCACGCCTGAATGGTCTCAGATGTAGGGGTCATTCAATGCCACGTGCGCCTTGTTAGTTGGGCCTGCAAACGGTTCGTGAGTGATGACATGTTGCATGTCAGTTTTTTATCTATCTATATATGACAAACTTCTGCGCGAATGATGAAAGTATCATTATGTACCGCTAGTTGCTGCCGTCCTGGGGGTGTCGCTTCCACGACCCAGCGCAGGTTCCGGTTATCCCCCAGGATGTGTTTTGTTTCACTGGTTTAGAGGCACATTCGGCAGACGACCTGCGTTGACGAACGTACAGCGGTTTGCTCGGAGTCGTGCCTGCAGGGAATTCGGCATGTTCGTGGCATTCGTCGTGCACTGTTGCTTCCAGCCTCCAGCGGTTGTCACAGCACCCCACATCACTCGGGATCCCGCAAAGGGGGTGTGTCCCCCAAGGGGGGGCGGGGAGTTCGATTGGTTTTTGCACCGAACCGCCCAAAACAGATCCCCCCCAGCCGCAGGCAGCTCCCGATGGTTGCCGATCGGTGGGGCCTGCGGGGGGCATCTGTCTGCGGCAGTTCGATGCACCAACGGATCGAACTCGTGCCCCCCCCACTCAGGGTCCCGCGAGCGTTTTCGGACTCTCCCTCGGCCCCCGCTTTCGAGCAGCGAATGGCGCCTCTTGTCGCCAGGATGAAAGCTAAAGAAGTGGCAAGAGCCTCAGGGGCGGTTTAAATCGGGTCGATCCCCCCAAGCTTTTGGTGCTGTCACCTCCCGACCTTTCAAGGCGCAGTCCACCCTTTTGGTGGATCCCGAAGCACCTCGGCAGGGCCACGTCCGCGCTCGGCGCACACGTCGCGCGAGCACGAGCACGGCGCGCCGAGGACCAGACCGCCGCACCCGCGCCTGCCTCCGACGAACAGAAGAGCCGTGCCGGTCCGCACGGTGTCCTGACTCCTTCCTGCGCCCCCTTAGAGTCGGGGCCCTGAAGAAGGAACCCTTTTGGTTGGGGAGGGGCTCCGCGTTCCTTAAGTGTTTCACAGCTTGCCTCAGGTTTTCTTTGTGTCTTCGATAGGAAACCGAAGTTTAACTTATGGAAAAAGGGGGCCTCGTTCCTTATTTAGGGTTCCTTGGGTCAACGCCCCGACTGCATACATTGGCCTGCGGCGAGCGAGGGGGGGAGGTGAGAAGGAGAAGGCCTTCTCAGAAGGCGGCGGGACCTCTCAGAGGCCCTCGCGCCTTCCGAAAGGTGTTCGGCGTGTTCGGGGAAGGCTCAGGAAACTGTCAGAAGGCCGGGGGACGTCCGAGCCTTCTGAGAAGGCCCGCCCCTGCTCACTTCCCCCCAGGCTCGCCGCCGATTCCAGCGCCCATTGCACTGGGGTGGCACAACGACACGAAGGCATAAAGACTCTGAGGTCCGCGCGGATTCCTCGGATCGGCGCTGGGGCCCCCTTTGCGGCGTCTCCAGCGCCGCCCTTGGTACCCCCCGCGCGCCAGGGAGGGGAGTCCATTGCCAATCCGAGAAACCTGCGCGGACCTTTGATTTTTCGTTTGCAGTCAAAACGCATAGTGAGGATGAGCGACTTTCCAAGATTAATTACCCTTGCATCCATCTCCTTCGGTCCATCCGTTGCCACCAGCTGGCCGCGCCCCGCTCGAAAGGTGCCAGCACGGCCTTCCAAGGCCCTCGTATCCTCATCGCGCATGCCGTTGCTTGTTCCCGTAAGCCCCGTCCTGCGCCCGCTACACAATTCGGGGCAGCTCTCCCGGAGGGGCGCCGCTCAACCCGCGGAGGGTGAGTTGTCTCGATATCGTTCGGGTCGTCGTCGCGGGCGCCTCGTGGCTGACAGGTTTCTTCTCCAAGCGGGGGCGCCAGCTCGAAGAGCTTGTGCCTGCACTGCCGTTCGCTCGCCGCTGGGGGGAGGGGGCAATCTCAAGGCAGTTCGTGTCGCCATGCTGGATCTGGTGTTAAGCCTGATGCATGCTGGTTCTGAGGTTCCATATGGTAGCTGCTCTCGTGCTCTGGAGTACTAGAATTCTGCCTGCGGGTTGGAACGTCAAGTGCTCCGCAAATCCCCGCATCCTCGTGCCGAATTTCTGGGAAGGAGCATCGCTGACACGGGCGAGCGCATCATCCATGTCTGTCTTGCGGCATGCGTCAGTGCAGAGCGCTGGCAATAGATCGAAGACGCTTCGGGCAAGTCACCGCCGCCCCCGGCCTTCCTGGAAACGCCTGCGCCCCCTGGCTCTCTTCACCGAGCGCGTTCCACCACTCGCAAGACGACTACTCGCACATGGCCTGGATCCGCTAGGGGAGATGTACGAGAAATTACATCGAATCGGACATGTGTTTTTCGGGCGTGTGCGAGTAGGCACTTTGTCCGATTCGATGTAATTTCTCGTACATCTCCCCTAGCGGATCCAGGCCATGTGCGAGTAGTCGTTTTGCGAGTAGTGGAACGCGCTCGTCAGTCTCTGGAAGCAGCGGGAGGGGCCGCTGCGGTCCTCTTGGGACTTCTGCCTGGTCTTAAGTCGGGCCTGTCCCCCTACAGGGGGATTTTTGACGAAAAAATTAAAAATAGTCCAAAAATGGTCCAAAAGTAGTCTGGGGACTATGTTTTGCGAATTGTTTACCCTTTTGGGGTATCTTTTTGGGGTATTTTTATTTTTCGTCGAAAATCCCCCTGTAGGGGGACAGGCCCGACTTAAGCCTGGTCCTCTTGGGGCCCTCCCGGAGGCCCGTCGGGGCCTCTAGCGGGGCCTCCGTGGAGGCTTTCTTTGGGCCGCCTCGGGGTGCGCGGCCGTCTGGCTCCCCTGCAGGCCCTCTCGGGGTTGCCTGTCTGGACCGTCTCGTGGGGGAACTCCTCCTCCTCCTCCTCCTCCTCCTCCTCCTCCTCCTCCTCGTCCTGCTCCTCCTCCTCCTCCTCCTCTTTTTTCTCCTCCCCCAGAGCCCCTCCTCCTCCCCCTCCTCCTCCTCCTCCTCCTCCTACGTTTCTACGTTTCTCGCTATGCAGCGTCTTGTCGCGCGCCCCGCGGGCGCGGAGCGCTCTGCAGCGGCCCTCCAGGGCCGTGCGGGCACTCAGACAGCGGCCCCGGGAACCCGACCCCGAGGAAAGCAGGGAGCCAGGGACCAAATAATCATAGAGAAGGGAGAAGGGGGGCCGGGTTTCAGCAAAACTAAAAAGATGAGGGCCCGTCTGGGCCCTCAGCGGGCGCCGCGCTCGCCCGTGCCAGCTCAGCCGGCTCGGCGCGCAGCCAGGCCTTCGGCCTCTTTGTGGGCGGTCGGCCTCTTGTGTGGCGGCTGGGCTCCCTTCGGCGCCTCGCGGTGAGCCCAGCCGCCAGGTCATCAGATGGATGGCCGCCTTCTCTGCGGCGGCCTCCACCCTTCGGCGCTTAGCGCTGTGGAGGCCCGCCGAGCCTCTCTTGGACTCCGGCGGCTCTGCAGCAATCTCCTCGCCTGCCACGCGAGGGCGGTGGGGAGACACCCTTCGGCGCCAGGCGCTGTGTCTCCCTCACCGCGGGGCAGGCTGCCCCTTCTGGTCGAGTACTCCATGGTTTGTAATTCTCCATGGTGACTGACGCTGTATACTTCCAGTACTGCCTGACGTTGCAGAGCTGCACCATGTAGAGCTTGCGCTTGTAGGGCTCCATGTAGAGCTGCGGTGCTGCCGTCGTCAGTCATGACCCCCCTGCTTTTGAGGGGCAGGGGGGTGCTGATCACGGATGTTGTAGATGTCGATGTATGGGGGCTGAGTGCAAGATGTGGAGCGAGTTGGACGGTCGTTGGGGGTCGGTTCGTTGCTGGTGTTGTGTTGGTTGAGGGCTACCAAGGCCTCCATGCACCGACTTCAAGTGGGGGTCGTTGCTGTCCCACCTCGTCCCGCTATGGCTAGGGGTCACGGTGCCCTCGGTGGGGGCGAACCCCAGGCCTGGTACTTGTTATCGTCGGAGTGGGGTGTCTCGGCTGTCCAGCTTCGCCCTCGGGCGATCGGGTAGCTCCTCCTTCTCCATGGGAATGGTGGGGGTGGCGAGCTAGGGCGGACCGCGGGGGCGCAGGTAGTGGCCGTCCTACCCCCCCCCTGCCCCTCACCATCCCCGCTGGCGGGCGCGGGAAGCACTCGTCCTTCCCCCCCAGCCCTTCGAGCCCGTCTCGAAGTTTGATCCTCACCAGGACAGCGTTGACTTGGCAGGAGTTGTGTGGGGTCGTGCTGGGTATGCTGTCGATGTCGGTCGGCGGTACGCTGGCGGCCAATGGGCCGCCCGCTGCCAGCCAGCTGGCGCCATCCAAATTGTAGATATCCAGTCGCCGCCGGGGTGCACAACAAAACGTGGCGACTTGTGCCTGGGGTGTTCCCTCGCATTCGGGGCTTCCCCAGGACTTGCGTTCTAACCATAGCAAAACTTGGCGACGCTGCCTGAGGTCTTCCCACGCATTCGGGGCTTCCTCAGGACTTAAGCAGCACACCGTAATGCCTTGTCCAGGGCGCAAGATAATCATAGAAATAAATGCCAATGTTGGAAAGTCGCTAAAGCCAGAGAGTGCTCGAGGGGGGGGGCACGCTCCGTCGCCATTGAGGGATCGTGCCCACCCGCATGGGCGCTACGGGTCCCCCCCCCCCTCGAGTGTGGCACGCAATCGTTGTCCAGGTCGCAGCCGTGCCATTAACCCAGTAGCAACGGGGCATTGGGCCATGCAGTAGGTGCGCTGATGCTGACACGTCTGCTGCCAATCTGAAATACTCTGTATACAATATTGTAATGCCAGCTGCCCTCAAATCTGTAGCAGGCCGGTGGTCTGCGCCAAACTGCAGACCAATGTTCCCTTCAGGGGCTGAAGTATATAATACTGAACGCTTGACTCGACTAACTGCACCAAATAATGTAGTGCCGCTGCAGTGCCAGCTGCTAGCGCCGATGGTTGCCCCATGCCCTGTGACAATCATGGCCGAGCTGCTCTGGCTCAATGTAGTAATCCAAGGGGGGCGTAGAACCTGTGGTAGCATTCATCCGTTTCGGCCCACCTTGCCTCTTCGTCAGCAAGCTGCCCCCAGTGGGCTGCGAAAGCGGTAGCCATTGCCTTGCACAGCCTTGGTGGATACTCTTTGAGGGGGGCGGTCCTCCAGCCGCCTTGGCCGTCTCGTCCGTAAGCTCTGGCATGTCCCGTATGTCGGCATAGCTGCCCCCCAGGTACCGCCCTTAGCTCCTGTGCGAGTTCACCGAGGTGTGCCGCCATCAGACATGTTGGTTTTCTCGCAGCCTGCCCAAACTGGCACTGGTCTATGTAGTGAAGTTCGACGCCCGTCTGCTCCAGGAGCCAGAGTGTCTCTGCTCGCTGCCAGCTGCTAGGCGCTTGAGGGCGCCAGGTGGCTGGGGCGGGATGCTCGAGTACGGCTGAAACGTTGTACTGCAGGCCCGTGGTGATGAGTAGTAAAGCTGTCCTGTATAGCTCGTTGGCTAGTGCGATCTGTTGATGCTCCGCTTGACTAGCTGCTTGTATGCCCCAGGGGGATTCATGTGTACGTAGTGGTCGTGGTGCATTCCCCTCGGCGGCATGCCAGCGCGATGAGCACCACGTCTCGCAGGGCGGGCCCGCCACAATACCAAATATTCTGCCCTGTCGCATCGCTGCGCACCAAAACTCGACGACGTCTGGCTTCGTCAGGTCTCCTTTGTCGGGGTCTATCTGCACGTCGATCGATAGTACTACCAAGTTACATTCCCGAATGTTCATCTCGAAATGGCACTGGAAATCCTCGATTCGACGTCTGCCCGAGAAAAGGCGCAGCAAGAACATAGCCGTAGTAACCATGGGCCTGCACGGTGAGAATACGTTTGCAGGCGGTGTCGCTGTTTGGACGTCCGCTGCTGCAGGCGGGGCCGGCGAGAGTTGGAGCTGATGTTGCTCTATGTAGTCGGCCAGCTTGAGCTGTATGACCTGTTGGGCGGGCACCAGCGCCTTTGTAGCTCCATGCCCCATTGCCTTCCTCGCCGCCACAGCTTCTCGCTCTTCTTCTCGGCGTCCGGCTGCCTCCTGCAAATCCCTTGGGACTTCGATTGCTTGGAGGACCGCCAGGCATTTGGGGCACCTTCTCAGGTGCTTGAGTACGCGGGATCTCGTTATGAAGTTCTTCCCGCACCCAGGGCAGGTAGTCGAACGGGCAAGCAATTCGGGAAGGTCGTAGCCGATGTGTTCCATGGTGCGATGGCGCTTCCATGCTCCCCGAGTTTTTAATATCTTGCCACACTCATAGCACATGTAGCCACAGTGCTGTGCAGGCGGCAGCCCCTCGAAGTTGGGCGTGGTCATTCCAAACTCTTGCGCTAGACGGTGTAGCTGCCTTTGCCATACTCGATGACGGTATATGTCGTGCTGCCATGCTTTGTACCTGAGCCACGCACGGGTTATCGTGGCTTGTGCGGCTCGCACATGCTGTGTGCGTAGCCACCGTAACAAGCCCCTGATGTCGCTGCCAATGTCCTCGTCGTCTAGTAGGAAACTTCTTTTCCAGTCCAGATCTTCGACGATAAGAGCATTCCAGGCCTTCTCATCCTCCCAAAGTTCGTCGATGAGGCGGTGGAGGAAGGGCGTGTCTGCATGCGCCATTCTGGCCAGGTACATCAGGCGCCGTCGGCGCAGGTACATATGGATCGGTACTTCGTCACACATCGAGTATATTTCGTCATCCAAGGTATGTACATGTCCCGCGCTGTGTCGCTGTTGTCTTGCGGCGGCCCGCAGGCTCGCCATGTGTCTGCTCTGCAGCATCTGCTTCTGCTGTACTGTAAGTGGCCCCCATACTTCGCAGTCGTAGGTCAGCTTGCTTTGCGCCAGTGCCGTGAGATACAACAGCTTGGCCTTGAGGTCGATGTGCGGCAGGCGGAAGATGGACTTCTTCAAGGGGCCCTCTGCGGATCTGTGGTCTATGATGCGTCTCATAAGATTCGGCCCCTCCCCGCCATCACTTGTCACAATATTGCCCAGTGTGAGTCCCTGGGTCGTGACCTCCGCCGTTGTAACTTCAGTGCTGGTTGGC